CAGGACATTGTATATGCAGGACGCTGCATAATAATCATTCAGTTACTGTAATGTACAGTTGATAAATCATCAGCTGAAAAAGCATTTGTGACCCTTGCTTTCTAAGGTGTTGAGAGATATTTGTTCTCAACATATTGGTCTAATGTTTTCTTATTATCTTAATGTACCTACAGTGTTCTTGAAGAACTTTACAAATTCTTAACTTGGTTTTTGTATATTTAGGCCTTGAAAAGTCTTAAATATGTTGCTAAAAGTCTTATAAAATCTTAATTACAGGCCAAAACAAAATGCCCATGCTCTTCATAGATATACGTTTACAAGAATAACAACATGTGTCATGTTAGTAGATGGGGAACATATCATTGTAAAACACATTTGTATTAATTATAAATCCATTACAATTTGAAATAATTTATACAAGGTATTTGAGTGATTCTTCTTTATTAATATTTTCATTATTTTTTTGGTAAGTTTGTTGTGAAAATATATTTTCTAAGGATTGGTTTTAAAAGGTCTTAAATTTGGTTAGTTGACAGCTGCAAGTAACATGACCTAACCAACTTTTAGTGACAGTTCTGCAGAATAGACTGTGTGATACTTAATGCAGTTAGAACAGATATGGTTGTCGAATAAGATTTTAGAGAAACAGATGGTTGGTTTTAACCATTGATGATGACTGGAGACTCAAAAAAGTCAATATTCTGAAAAAGTTTTGTAATCCTTGTTTTAAGGATGTTTTAACATAGTTTAAGTTTTGTGATGCACATCATTGGATTTTTGCCATTATAAGTTTCCTAAGCAAACTGGAGATTTTACATAAAGTCAACTTGATCTTGTGCTCTATCACCATCCAAGAAAATGTCTGTAAGTCTGAAAGATACTTACCAGGCTTCTGAAAGTGTTAGAAGGGATTTGTGCTCTTACACGGTATAAATCAGTGCAAAATTGTATCATTTACATAGCAATGCTAGCAGGAAAGCAAAGTAGTTCAGCTTATTGCTGCGTAAAGATACCAAAAGTATTTTTCTGTCATCCTGCATTTGCTTACTGTATTAGATCACATTGATATATATGTATTTTGTAGTTGACAAATTAAATTTTAATCTCAATGCTTAGTTTCATCCTTGACAACTTATTTTTGTGATGTGATTTGAGTTTGAGTGATCAAAATGTTTAAAAAGAATTGAAAGCTACAGTTTGCATTTAGCATGAATGCAGATGGCATAGCTAATGGTGTTATTGGTCACTATGGTTATGAGGCTACTCATTGAACAATGGCATCATGTACTATGAGCAGGCACTGGTTATATGTGATGATAGGATAGAGGTGCATGTGTTGGTGTTGTTACGTCTCTGGTCGTTTGTTAATTTTCCGTAGAAATTCTTTCTGAGAAACTTCAGCGATACAAGTCCTTTCTTAATTAAAACTAGTTTATTCTTTCTCAATACAACTTTGCAATACACTTAATTTCCACAGTCCCTTTAACTTAAACACACACTATAATTCACAACTGTTCACGCACTTTACTTACGGTCACTACCGCGCTTGACTCAATTGTCCGTCTCTGTCTGTCTGCAATTATCTATGCCGGTCTTATATATACAAAATAGAGGGCGTCTGGCAAACACTCGAGCCTTCAGGAACCTTTTAGATACTCATTACGTGTTACCAGCATCACGTGACTTCCGCTGTCATAACATTATATATGGACCTTGTAGTAATTATAGACCAGTTTGTGTTTGTTTAATTAGATACATAAATGTGATGTATGCATAAGATCACAGTTTTTAAGATAAATAATGATTTTGGCTTGGACATTGAGATATGTTTTGCTAAAGGCCACAGTAATTACCTTAGACTGCACTGAGAGAAAAATACAGTTGAATATGATTAGTTCAAATCTTAATATTCTAAGTCTGTGATTTTCACTGAGAGAAACACATAGTTGCTGAATAACCTACCCTACATGGAATGGAAAACATGGGAACCCATTGTTTTCATTGTCTGTTTGTTTTCCAAGTAGTTTTGATTTAGAAATATGTTTGATTAGTGCAATTTTTGGATCTTGCAAATAATATGTTTTATTTAGAAACACTATTCACCTCTCCACAAAACTTATAGCTGTTATCTCATGCTAGTGCAAGATAAATTTTCAAGCATCTGCTAGCCTAGCGTATTGCATTAGTCTATGATGCAGTCAGCATTAGACTGTAGCCTTCTACCAATAGGAGAGCGACACATCCTCCATGTGCAGTAGACCCTATGAGCATGTCATGTATTAACAAAGGCTCATTTTTTTCTCAACACTGCTTGGTTTCAAATGTGTTTTTTGTATTGCAATTATGGAGTTTGTTCACTTCTTATTTTCAAACTTTAGTTCCATTTCAAAGAGTAGTCTTTCATTTCTTTATATTGTGGATTTTTCAGAGTGAAAGAAAAAACTTTTAAACATTTCATATAGTACTTGTGATTAGAATTGCTATCTTTTCTTATACTAATTTGTTTTCCTCTCTTAATCAGATTACAAGATCTTGGGACATATTATCCTGAATCTGAAATGTAGTTTTGTGATAATGCTGTTCTCCATCATTACTAACTCAGTGTTTGTGTTTTGATAGTTAATCTCAAATTTTGTCATAATGACAACGACCAAAATCTACATACCAGACTTCCTTTAAAAGAAAAGTTTCATGGATTGGCTCAACTATTAATTCATGTATCCACATTCTTGGAACCTTCCAAGTTCCTGACATTCCCCAACAGGAGTTGTCTTTTGCTGCTTCAATGGCTTCTGGAAGAAATCTGATGGTCAGTGATTTTACCACTATTGTGCATCAGGTGGTTGGTTCTATTCTAATCTCAGATTTAATATTTCTGACCTTCTGCTTCAATTGCTTCAGCTGAGCTTGCTCCCTATTTTGACAGTTTTAATCTGCTGTTACCACCATCTGCTTTTGTATATTGTTCTTCCCTTATATTTCTATATAAGAGGTTCTGTCCATTTTGTAGACTCTGATTTCTCTTAAATCCCTTGTTCCTCTCAGACAAGCCCATATGCATCATTTTAAGTGAATTCTGGCCAGTCATTGGAGTGTGTTCAGAGATCCACTGTCTCCTCTTGTGTGTCTTTCTCCACTTTTCACTTCTCACTATCATTTTATTTTCCTTTTTACTTGCAGGAGATGTTACTCTGACATTTTGCTGTGTACATCTCTCATGTTGCTTTTATTCACAGACTGCTTTGTCCTCTCAAAAATTTGGGTTTTGTGGAAGAGTTATTGAATGTTTGATGATGGAACGTAATACATGACTTGTGTTGCCTCATGAGGAAAACTTTAATTTCCCAAAATCTACATTGATTAGTGGATAATTGACATTTTAAAGCATATCTGCTCCTGCTTCGTGCCACTGTTGAGATGGGTTTTTTGAAAAGGTTGCTTCAGCAGTATATGTATATATATATTTTTTCAGGCCATACGTATACCAGAGCAAAAAACACTCATAATCTCTAGCTGAGTGTATGCTATCAAATGTTTCCAAGACCACTATTCCAAAAGGATGCCATTAGCATACATGTCTTATAGAAGGGTTCCAAACTATCACAAGGTGTTGAGTGATGTCTATTATCCCCTGAAGGAAGTCCACAAGATACTTGATTCCAAAATGTCTTCCCAGCTCTACATTTCCCATTCAAGTCCAGCTGTGGGGCATATTACTATAACTTTAATAGTGAACCCTATACTGTTGTCAGTTAGGTGATAGGTGTTGCTACAATTCTTCTGGGCAGCATTGTTAAATTATGCCTGAACATTTGTGTCTCTGACTTGATTTTTTAGCCCATGTCTCACATAAGGTACTATTCAGGTTGTAATTTACCAACAATTTTTCCATTGCTAAGTAAATCTTATTCTTTTTTCTTCTTGATTCAGAGCTTATCGATTCTGCATAAACTTCCTGAAATTTCACATTGAAATCACCTTCTTACCTAATATCTTGAAACAAAATCAATATCTTCAAAGTTTGCTAGATAAACTTTATAACTTGAAATTCTTAAACACTTAGTTCAAACTAAAAACTAAACCAACAGATGTTTAGAAATGTCCCAACATCTTTACATCCCCTATCTTGGAAAACAGAGCCCATAATATAAAAAATGTACGTACGTACCTGATGATGCTTTCACTGGCAAAAACATGATCATTAATAAATGAAGTGTTTATGAAATGTACAATTGTTTTTGTTTTTTCCTCAATTCTGTAAAAAAAAAAGTAAGTTTGATATACATACACACACTACCCATAATATAAACTCATGGTCAAACTTACCTTTTGTAAAAAAAAGAAACAGACTAATAAAAACCTCATCATGAGTCACATGCCATGAGGTAAATTTACAGTACACTATATTGGCAAAATTTAAAGCCATTTTATTATTCATTTTCTTGAACGCAAGAGATTTTATCAAAACCAGACTGAATTTTTTAAATTTTAAACATTTCTGATTTGGAACTTATAGTCAAAACATTCTGCTGATTAATAAACATTTACAACACAAAAAAACAACACCTGACTTCTTTTGAATTTGTTTCCAACTTTCTCATTTAATTACTTTAGCTTTAATTAAATACATTTTATTGACCATATTATAGTAACTGAGATTGAACCTAATTGACATCATTTTGTTTTTTACCTTATTTTCAAGTGTTATGACTTAATTGTTGAAGATGGATTATATGCATCATGAAATGTTATTGTTTTTCTATTGTCTGCATCTTGATTTACTTCTCATTCCTTTGCAGAAGAGCATGTTATATCAATCAAGTATCTGTTTACTAGAGCAAAATAAATCTCCCTCTTTAATTTGTCTTTAGTTTCTACTTAAAGGAACTGATTGCAGTGAGTTTAAACCGCCTTAATTTGCCATATCATTTAATATTGAAATTGCAATAGGTTTCACTTTTGGGTTATTAAATTTGTTTTATTTTAAACCTTGTTTTTAGGAGCACATGTTGTTATTGCATGTAGAGACACTACAAAAGGTGATATGGCAGTACAAGAAATCAAGAGTATTGTTCCCAATGGAAGTGTTGTCACTCTTTCCCTTGATCTTTCTTCCTTACAGTCGGTTCATACCTTTGCCAAAAAGTTACTGAGATCTGAGCCACATATACACATCCTCATAAACAATGCAGGTAAACGAAGGATTTTATAGATATAATTACAAAGCATATTGCATTTGACTTGATATTCTTTATATACCTTCACTTTTTTTAGATTTAGAACCAACACTGTAGCTTACAAATAAAATTTGTAAAATCATAATTACTAGTGAATTAAACATCATAACTCTAGTTTCAAGCAATTCCTTTTTACAGCTGATTTTTATAAAAAATATGAATTTGTTTGACAGTTATTTCTTATATAGTAAAATCCTATGTAAAATGCTAATAATTTATTTATTAATACTGTATGTGTGTGTGTGTAAATCAAGAAACAGACAATGGTGTGTGTGTATATTGTTGCTTAAGGAAAGTCACATGACTAGTGTGACGCCACGTTTCTAGAACTATCCTGTACCTTGGCGAATGCTCTAGCATTTACTACATATAGGGTAGTCTGGTATATAAAAGAGGGTGACAACGTGACGGGATAATGTGTGTGTGTGTAGATATTGAGTAACTGAACTGCAGTCAGAAGTATTGTTGACGTTCGTTGATATAGCGTTTGTTGAAAATAAGTGTATCGTAAAGTTGTATTCGGAAAGAATAAACCAGTTTTATTAAGTAAGGACTTGTGTCGCTAAAGTTTTGTCGGAACGAAGTTACAGAAATCAATTAACAAACGGAGACGTAACAAATTGGTGTCAGAAGTGGAACCAAATATAGATATCAAGGCAGAACAGGAGAAAGACCAAGATTTGAAGCCAATGATTGATTTACTAAAAGCAAGCGTTTTGCATCCTGCTTGGGAGAAGTTGTCTAGTCTAAGCCCCGTGACAAAGCACTATTGGGCACAATGGGACCAGTTGAAGCTTGAAAATGGTAT